CAATGAGTTCACTGTACTAAAATGGCCCCCACAGTCACCAGATCTCAACCCAATAGAGCATCTTTGGGATGTGGTGGAACGGGAGCTTCGTGCCCTGGATGTGCATCCCACAAATCTCCATCAACTGCTATCCTATCAATATGGGCCAACATTTCTAAAGAATGCTTTCAGTTTAATCAATGCCACGTAGAATTAAGGCAGTTCTGAAGGCGAAAGGAGGTCAAACACAGTATTAGTATGGTGTTCCTAATAATCCTTTAGGTGAGTGTATATTAAGAACTGACCACTGAAAGGTTCTTTGGGGAACCCAATGGCATTGCTGCGAAAAAAACCACCTTTTGAAACCTTTATTTTTAAAAGTGAGCGTGCAGCTCTGTTGCTTGCAAAACAATTTTAGAGAGCCAACTAATTACACTTTATTGTCTTGTTTTACTGCACTTTACAATGTTTTACTGGGGACACCACTTGTCTAACTCTTGTGTATATATCAGAGCAGAGTTATAAGTCCAGTGGTTTGGATGACCAGCTGAGAGCCTGCTTTTCCCATCACCTCTTGGCCTGCAGAAGAGATCTGAGATCTGTAGCGCTCTCTCTCTCTCTCTCTCTCTCTCTCTCTCTCTCTCTCTCTCTCTCTCTCTCTCTCTCTCTCTCTCTCTCTCTCTCTCTCTCTCTCTCTCCACTGTCCTTCCAGTCCAAACTAAAAAAATAGCGTGTGGTTCAGCAAAAGTGAGAAGTTCTTGGAGGAGCTACATTATTATGTCAGTGTGGGCTTATGAGGAGGTTGTTTCAGTCCTTATAAGTCTGAGGCCACAGTGAAAACCTGAGAAACAAAATCTGATTTAAACATGGAAATATATAAAGGAAGATAAATATACAAGATGCTCTTTGGATAATCTTAAAATCACGCTGAAGAACATTATCATCAGTGACACAAACTTTGTGAGTTCATGCAGCTCGAGGTCTGCTATCTCAAAGCAAATGAGAGACATTCCAAATACTTACAGACAAATTTCAACTCAAATTTTTACTCAAATAGAAAATCAGTCCAAAAAAATCTGGACTCAACTGTATGAAGAGCAGAGGTGGTGTTCTGTTAACTCCCATAAGCCAAAACAATAAGGTGATGAGGTTGAGATACAAACCTTTAACATTACTGTCAGTTCAGAATAAGACATGATAGAGTGACACATATATCGGTTTTGTTTTAGTGTATGTCAGTGTGTGACTAGAATCATGAATCTGTGAGGGTGTGGGTCAGAGGCTTTGAGCTGTTCTCCTCTGGAGGTTTGGGACGTCGTCCCGGAATGAAGCTCTCATTCCTCCCATTAGAATCAAACTGATTCACTGACTGATACTCCTCCCAACAGCAGAAACACACCCGGAGACACGCTTTTTTCAAAACCTCTTAACATCTTGTCCAAGTTTGTTTCTGTTTCTGCATATATGAATGATACCTCAATATTTGTCTTGTTGAGCAGAGGTGTGCTGCTATGTTTCTAAGCGATTACATTTATTTTTTGTCACCTGTGTGGCAGACTATAAACAGGAAAAAAAAATATTGAGCCAGAATGCCATAAAAACTTGGGTAGGCTCTTTTGACTTGGACCAATAACCACCCAGAAAACCCTAGCAATCACCTGCTACAAAACCTTAGCATATAGCAAGGCCCTATAATACCTTGAATACCATAAAAAACACGAAACCATAGGATTTAGCAGCCCCGCCACCCTACAGAGGATAAGCGGTTTTGGAGAATGATTGGATGGATAGATGGAATAGCAATGCCCTATAGTTAACACCCTGAACACCCTAAAAACTACATGGAAATTCCTAGCAACCACCTAGTGATGCCCTAGTAATCACCCGAAACCCCCAAGCAACAGCATATCAATGTATTGAAAAACCAGAACACCTTGAAACACTCACTGTAACCACATAGTAACACTTTGAAAATCACCATTGTGGCAAGTTTTCACAAGAAAGCAGTACAAAAAGGTAAAAAACAAAAGTGTTCATTGATGGACCCTATTTATTTTCTTTAAATTAAACAAATCTTGGAAGGAACGTCCTGCAGTATTTGAATGTGTTCTAAAGCGATAAGGCAATCTGCAAGTCTGCCTTCAAGGTGTTTGGCCACAATTTGTAATCAACTGAGAAACGCTGAAAAATGTTAAACCTCACTATATAGAACAGGTGAAAAGGGAATGTTTCTGTCATGGAAATCCCTACACATCTTCCTCCCACATGGTGAGGAAAGGACAGTGTGAACATGACCATTCCCCGAAAACTTTAAATGAAGGGCTCGGAGAAAGTGGCAAAGGACATATGGACAGAACGGCATGCTTCACTCAAGCACTGCATCAGGAAAGTGGATCCAGATCATATTTGCACAATTATCTTTTAATGGCAGAGATGCTATAAAAGCAAAGAGGACAAGGAGGAATTAGAGGAATTCCTCTCAGAGGAATTAGCCCATGAAAAAGACACCTCAGCAAGGTGCCATGCCATCATACCTCGTGGGCACAGAATATAGTGGTGTTAAAACTGGGCTGAGACCATCACAACACAAGATACACTTAGTGCCGTCATTATACAGCGTGCTATATGTGGATTAATAATCTCAAAATATAAAGTCTGAATATAAATTGATGAGAAGTCTAAACAGCAACACAAACTGGATGTCAATTGCATGTCATCATCAGCATTACATCATCTATTAATCTAAAACACTCCATTTTTAAAATAGCAGTACTGTGCATAATCTTTTTATGTGACTAATACATTGACTATTATGGGATGTCATTCTAAAGGTTATTAGAATGTCATTCTACAACTCTTAAAAACAAAGAGGCATCTATTGGATTCCATAAAGCACCTTTAACATTCATGGAATCTTTCCATTGCACAAAAGGTTCTTTATAGTGGACAAAGTTTTTTGGCTGGATGTACAGAACTGCAGAAAGCACTAATTATTACTGTATGCATGTATTCTGTCATTTCTTGGGTAACACTTTACAAAAAAGGTTAGTTAGCTACATTAGTTAACACGAACTAACAATGAAATGTACTTAAGAATTTAATATTAATTTCAATATTTACTAATACATTATTAAAATCAAACGTTGTATCTGTTAATATTATTTATTGGACCTTAAATTATAACATTAACTAACAAGAGTTTTATTTTTAACAAAGATAAATAAATATACTGTAACAAATGCATTGGCCATTGTTAATGTTAGTTAATGCATTAAATAACGTTGACTAATGGGACCTTGTTGTAAAGTGTTAGCTAAAAAAAAACATGATCATACATTTTTGGCTTTCGCAGTTGTGCTAAGCAGCAGCATATGGGTCATTTACAGCATATGAAGGAGAATCCAGAGCACTTCAGGCCCCTCTCAGCTAAATCAATCCAAGTTAGTGCCAAAAACCCATGACATCATTTAGGAGTTTAGTGGAGGAGGGAGTGGTGAATAGCGCATCATAATCAAGGACATATTCTGTGCAGCTTTTATATGCTGGTGTTGTTTGATTTGTACCATCTGTTACGTCAGCCCACACCCCTATACTGTTTTATGCCTATTCTTTATGTTTCCATCCACATGAAGTACGTTTACTGGCAAGTAATTAACTGTTATTGGACAGAAAACAAATGTAATCAAACATGCAGCGTTCTAACGACAGCACAAACCCTGAAATCCTCATTTAACCTGTGTGTGTGTATACATTGGACAGCACTGAGTAAATACATGCCAAAGCCCAAAAAGGGGACGTGGCAAATAACTTGAGTTTTGGGAGCACAAGCGCGCTATTCACTCCAAGACTGAAGTCCTTTCTGTTTCAGTTTATAGACTCCTATTCTGCTAATAGTTCACAGGCTGAACCACACAAATTTGATGTCACTATGTCTGCAATTATAAATAGTGTCATTCTGATTTGATAACACTACAATCTGTCCAGCTGTATTAGGTATCCTTAATATCATTGCAACTGGGGACATTATAATTTCTATAATGTGCAGTTTATTAAATGACACTTTTCTTATAAACTGAAGTTCACAGTCCTTTACTTATGCAGAATTTAGGCAACACAACAGTTGTATTCAGCATCCACTACTTTAAGTCAGCAAACAAAATGGGGGTAAATATTTCGTTGAAAAGACTGAACAATAAAGAGAAGTGAATGAGTTTCCACTCTGGTCAAATACTTCCTGCTCACTGCTGGCCAGATGAAATAAGAGCAAAACAATCCCCATTATGCAGAAACAGCTGTGCTCCCCATCAGGGGAAGGAAACCCATTCTCTGCAGTATATGTGCTCAGAATGTGTGACATTCCTGTGAAATCACATATCAGTGCATTCACAAAGGCAGTATCACTGATTCAGAGAGTGCTGCAAAAGAGCTGTGGAATGCATATTTGAATCTGTGAAAAGGAATTGTGGTAATATTTTACATTACAGTCTCCATTAAGTTGAGGTGCCACTTTATATTAGGTGTCTGGTCTGCTGATATCCAGAACAACAGCACTCTTTCCACAGTTCATTACTCGGTATTTATGTAAATTCACAGCAACCTGAACTATAAGTGACGGATGATGAAACTGGGCTATTGCATGACATTGAGCTGTGGGGTAACTGATAATAGGTGGGGTTAAAGGTGTGGTGGGCGTGTGGTATAGGTTTGGCTATGCACTGCATGAAACTGATGACATTTCCTGCTCTAGGCTTGCTGTCAAATGCATGTCTGATGTGTTTAAGTAAAGTTGAGGTTATTCTTGGATTTCAATTGCCTACAATAACTAACATAATGATATAATCGTTTAGTGGTAAGACGCTGAATTTTACTTTAAAGCACAATGCAACACGGATAAATAAAGTCTAGCCTACACGAGAGAAAGTCCCATTCAATTATGATCATTAATCTTAACGTTGCACATACACCCGTTATGTAGACTTTTTTTTGTTGTTGAGTAGGCTACCAAATGAAAATCCATTTACCTCGTATGTAGCTTATTTTACTCTCGTCCAACAGACTGGATGAGGATGCTCCCATTGTGCAGTGTGGCTTGTCCCGGTCCCGAGCGGAAGATTTTTCCCGTTAGTCCGATTGTTCTAAAGCGCAGTGGCTATTTTGACAGTCAGATATTGACGAGCGCAAATAAACTGTGACTCAAGCATCTCAAACTTCCTCAAACTGCAGCGCCGCCCGCTTATATCCTCTCTGCTCTGTCAACATCCGAACAATATTTTGCTCATTTTTATAGAATTTTTTTTTAACGTTAGACTGTTTTGTTTGTTTATTAATGTATTTACAAATCATTTTAATGTATCTCCAAAACCTCTTTGTATTTTACCCCAGAAAAGTCATTTAGGAAAAACTTACAGATATGGCATAAAAACTGTTTCATTTGAATAGCATTAGAATGTAGAATAGAACGTAGCCTACATCGCAGTTTATATTTCTTTTAATCAGCCTCGATTATTCTGAGTCTCTAAACCGTCTACAAAGTAAAACGAAAAAAAACAAAAACGTTCGCGGCGCGTCCTGTTGAAACAACTCACAATTAAAAAAGAAGAGCAAAATGTGCACTAAGGTGCGTAGAAATATACGCAAGGAGTTTCACATGCAATTAGTAAATTATGCAGAATAGATTTTTTTTTAAAAGCTATAAGTTTAAGTTATCCAAAAGGCGTATGTTTTTAGGCTACTACTCCCCCCTAGAGGCACGTCAGTTTTAATCTTGTAGAAATATTTCATCGCCATGCTGTTTTGCGAAAGCCTGTTTTGTAAATGCCCCCCACATAAAAAGAAAAACAATGTTTTGGTAAATGATAATGATAAAAGACATAAAAAGTTGAAATTATGAGATAAATTGTCATAATGACATAACATCTCATAATTTAGAGATTGTAATAGGCTATCATAATTCGCTGGGTTTTTCCTGCATTGAATTGAATTGAAATTGAATTGAAACAATTATCTAATGTCAGCTGCACATGGCGGCATGATACGCTTTATTTATAAGCTTAAGGCGATTAAAACAGTGTGAATAAAAATGTCTTCTTTGATGAAAATTCTTTGCGTTTGTAAATTGCCCTTCCCAAGAAGATTATCCAGTGATCTTAGGTGGATTTATCGCTCCTGTCAACAGGTGCACATCGGGCTAGCTAGCATTATCTTAGCGTCAATAGACAACAATTAATCATATTAATAGGCTATCATGTTTTTTATTCCAAACCCACTAACGTCAGTCGAGTGATTATACCTTCTGTGAGACCCTGAAGGAGGGCGTCCTATGACTTAACACATTTTATGATGTGTTTTTAATGCTAATGCTTTTCAGTTAGGATGTAAAATAATAATAATAGCCTACTCTTCTCTGAAGAAATTTTAATTGAGCACATAGACTACGCCCTGATGTACAGAGATAAGGAAAGATGAGAAGTGTACAGGAGTTTTTTCCTCAAGATCCATAAGAGGCTCATATTTAAATGCATTGACATGGAGGTTTTGATTTTGCATACCTTATGACACATTTTTTGTATAACTCACTAGATCTTTATAAGATCAAATATATCTATAATATATCTATATATAAATTGTTCATCAACCACCACTGAAGACCTTTTTTGAGCCATGAACAATCCTTAAAATTGACTTGTATACCATTATGACTTAGTATCTCTCTTTTTTTTATTTACTTTTTATGTCAGTCTACCATTTTATGTCAGAAGTTCAGCTTTTTTCCCCTCATATAAGCCTCATTACGACTTTTTATGTAGTTATTATTTACCAAATCATGAATTTGTGGCGGGAATTTGCTTAGTTTTGCCATAATGCTATTCAAATAAACCAAATTTTATGTCAATCTGTTAATAATCTAATTAAGTTTTTTTAAACGTCAAACGTCAAGCTATTGTAGTCACACTTGTGGTCCATCCATCAATCTGTAGGCCTACCGTACATTGATGGGTCGTGTAATGTATCCCAGCGTCTCAGGAAACAGCCTGGACAGGTGGCTAGTCTATCAAAGGGCAAGCATAAACAGAACAATTGTAGTCAAGTTTGTCAATTTTCTCTCTCTCTCTCTCTCTCTCTCTATATATATATATATATATATATATATATATATATATATATATATATATATATATATATATATTTATTTATTTTTTTTATTTTTTTTTACATATTATTAACGTATAATGTAGTTGAAAAAGACACGTAAGTTTATTCAAATGAACGTGATGAAAAGTTAAGAAAATAAACGATGAACTGCATTTTACACAGTATCTAAGTAGATGACTGTAAAACCTGACTCCGTTTTTGAAAAATACCACATTTCCCAGAGTTCCTCAGGGCCCAATGAATCCGCCATATTGAGCTCAGCAGAACGCGCTGGCAGGAGAGAGAGGGAGAGTGTTCACAACATTGAAATGTAAGTATGTAAACAGCTGCGTTTGTTCAAATATATATTTTTTCTGGTTGTTGAGATTGACGTTTTCATTAGCGCAAAAGGTTTTATATGTCACAATTTCGCCGACACTGAGTTCAAAGTTGATTTAATGCAGCCTGTAAATACAGCATCTGGATTAGCAGAGAGAGTTAGCCGTTAGCTCTACGTTTTCATGACAGCGCAGGAGATAAAACCTTTCCTCGTTATTTTTTTTCTCTTCCGATTATTTTGTTTTGTTTTTGTTCTCCGTTGCTGCAGAGCAGGCACGGTCATTCAAAAGACACGTTGTACGTACAGGAAGATGCTTTGTCTATCCAGTGACACAAAGAGTTATAAGTGCCTTCATAAGCTAATTTTAGCCTGCTAGCTCTGTGACTGCAGGGTTAGACAGATTAATGGTTTATTATAGTATGATGATCTAAAACAAAACAAAACAATGCAGACTTAATGGTTGAAGTAAACATGAGTAGAGTTTAATGGACGTAATCACGCGCCAGCTTTCGGCTTAAACCAACGTCATCAGACCATAACATCCCTCAGATGTCAGTTGTTAGAGATGATCATGATGGAAATTACTTTGCTGTCCTTGTCCTAAACAAGGACATTTGAAAATTGTAAGATCATTGTCTTCAATAGGTTTTTAATAAGTCGTAAATATTTTATCATGTATGGATTTTGACATAAAACATGCTATTATTGTTTTGTTTTGATTCTGTATCTCATCACATCATGTAGCTCTTATAGTAGATTTTCATATTATGTCAGTAATGTTTTCTTTGGCTGTTTTTCACAGAGGTGAAGGAGACACAGTGTATAAATATGACACAGACGGTCCAGACGAATGGGGTTCAACCCCTCAGCAAAACATGGGAGCTTAGTCTCTATGAATTACAGAGAACTCCACAGGTAAGAAAATTCACATGCCAATTATTGTACATTTATGTTTTCCAAGTGTGATTCTGACTGTATGCTAGTGCGAGGGGTTTTCAAACTGGGATCCAGGGACCCCCAGGGGGCTGCAAAGGAGTGACAGGGGGTCCATGGAAAAGTCTAGAGAAAAACTGTAAAACATATGTAATAATAATAATACGATTTTAATGATAAGAATAAAATATGTAAATAAATACATTAGATTAAAACAAATTAATTAATTAATAAAAAATGTGAAAATGTAAAATAAAAAAATATTAGTTCGATAATAATCTATTAAATTAGATTAAAATAAATGTTTTGTTTTTTTATGAATACAAATAAGTTATACTGTTACCGCTACATTACTATAGTTCAATATATATATATATATATATATATATATACATAATGTGACTTAATATAAACTAATTTTAGATTTGTAATATACATTTTTCAGCATTTAAATTCTGTGTTTTTAATAGATAGGCATCTTTTTAGGGTTGGGGTTCCTCACATGAGGATTATCATATATGGGGGTCCATGGCACCTAAAAACCCATGTGCTAGTGAAACCCTGGCGAGAGACAGATTTGGTAGATGTTGCTTAGTTTTCGACCCTCAATGCAGCTTCTGTGATGTTGTGCTCCTCTAGGAGGCCATCACGGATGGTCTGGAGATCGCCGTGTCCCCGCGCAGCTTACACAGTGAGCTCATGTGTCCCATCTGTCTGGACATGCTGAAGAACACCATGACCACCAAGGAGTGCCTGCACCGCTTCTGTGCCGACTGCATCATCACTGCACTCAGATCAGGGTGGGTTTGTGTTATCCGTAGGATTTATGTGCTCAGATATTATATTGTACATTTTGTTTGTGGCGTGAACGAATACATGATAGTACCACGGGAGTGTGCGTGGTATAATTATATTAAAGGGTTAGTTCGCCCATTTAAGACATGAAGTTGTATGCAATCCTTACCAGCACTACAGTGCATACACACTGACCCACTCTGTTGTCACCTCCCTGGTCAGAGTTCTGGCCGCTGGAAGTTTTTCAATAAAGTACTCCCGGTTATTTTCCGGGGCCACAAAACTGTGCGTTTTTACGTGAAAAAATGATTTGCGTTTCAAAGCTTGATTAATTTACCACACAAAAAACACGCCGGTCAAAATTCATACCTCAGTTTTAATCGGCACTATTTTCTATCCATTTCTATCAATCCGCGCTGCTGTCGACGTCAACAGTGCGCACGTTCCGATCAGCTGTTGATAGCGCGACTCGCTGACAACATGTCTGACTACGAAACTTCTGATGATGAAACCAATTTTAGCACAATGTCAGACGGATCAGATGATGAAAGTAATTTTAGCACAACGACAATGTTATTGATTGCAACACAAAACCTCAATTGTGTGTGTGTTCAATCAAATAGTTTTCTCAGCAAATTGTACCAATATCCCTATATACTGTTTTTATATTAGAATATATATATTTTATATTCACGTGTTTTATAATGGAGTCTAAACATCAGCTTGTTTACCGTACAGTTTAGACATGGGATCATAAAGTTAGTAAATAGAGCTTACCCGTGGTACTGGTACAGCAAAACTCTTTAATTTTCCTTTTCCTCCTTGGTTGGGGATGTAATCGTCTTCGCTGAAGTGAGCACTACACACACGAAAATCCTTTATTCTGGATATTTTAGCTCCCGCAGAGTAGCCGATAGCAACCAGCCAAATCAACAACACGCGCTTGCACCCCCTGCTGGTGAGATCGACTAACAGCAGATGGAGATTATGCTCGGTAAGCTGTCTCATAGTTATATTCGA